TCTTTCCTTTTTTTTGTCTTTCACCATAGACTGCAAGACACAGAAGTTAACATGCATTCCAAAATTAGAGTAAGTAGCACCATGTACGTTTCTAAAAAAATCTTTCCAAAATCACTACGAGCTTAAATTAGCAAGAATTCCCTGAACAATGTTCTTAATTTATAACTCGATATTCAAAATTAAAATTATTTATGGCAAAAAGATGCTGATTTTTTGCAATATGGGTACAGAAGCAATTGAAGCAACAAGTACTCCACTGGCACGTTATTCTTAAAAGACTGCTCAAGTTCATTAGCAGTGACAGTAAAATGCAGTAGAAGGCCAAATACAATAAATCAGGAAGAAAATTCCATTTTTCTTTCACCTGGATATCACTTCTGTGTGTCACATAGATTTCCATATGTACTTTGGTACAAACTAGTCCAAGCTGGTTTTATTCCTTGTCTCTTAAATTCTATGAGAATAATTATGCTGCTGACCAGGGAAACCCTCAAGTGATCATACACAGTATTAATAATAATCAGGTTCTACTACTCGTAGAACTACAGAATTTCATATGTGCATTATTACCACACATAGTATGATTTTTCGTAACACAGAACCTAAGATGTTCTAAGCAGGATCTCAACCTTTCTGTGCTGGGTGCTATATGCTGGTCCCCAATCTGAAGAATGGACTGCTTCTTTCTAGTGAATTAAAAATTTACTTTAGTAGGGTGAGAATTCAAAGCTGTGTACTTTCCAGGCATCAACTCTGACTTGTACTTACTAGTCAGATCGGACATTCTAGAAACGGGTTTGCTTCCTGAAAGTTTGCACCTTCCACTGTTAAAATTGTCCAGGGAATGAAGACACTGAAGTCTTTGAAAAGCAGAGGCCTTTTTCTTACAGGATTGTGTATTGCCATAACAACAGATACGATACCATGATTCAGGTTCTTATATGCTACTTTAAGAAAAGACATATTGTGCACTCTTTTCTTGCCATAAACAATGTATTTAAAGTCTCTCAGGTGACACATATGCAACTGCCGTCAGCTACTTGACTACAAAATAAACACCCAACTAGATTTTATTATTAAAACTATACAAACAACCACAATAAACCAATATTTCATGATGATTCTGGGTTCGTATGCTTCCAGATGCATGCAATTAATTATTAGTCAGCCATATCAGGGAATGATATAGATTTGATATTAAGATCTCAAAATTCGTCATCCTTTTTTAATAATGTAAGCAGCAATCTACGGAAAGTTTTTAACTAGTGTCAACCAGATGCACACCAGAACAGAAAGGGTTGCTTGTTTTTAATGACTGGTTACAAAGTAATGGTACTGGTCCATATCGTAATAATGGTACTGTATTCACTGAAAAATCAACCAAATTACAGAGAAGCTTATGTTGCCACCATAATAAATATACTAAAATATAAATGCACATACCTCTTTAAATGACTGTAGTAGGTTGCTACCAGAAACTGATAGTGTAATGTCTATATGATGCATTATAAACAGTGGCTCTTCCTGTGTTTGATAAGGAAAACAGGCTAGATTGTCTGCTATGTACAAGAGCATATTCACCTCTGTTTTCTGAAAGTTAAAAAAAAAAAGTACATAGAAATACACATACAAATATCTTTGTATACCTGAAGATACATTATTTCTGATCAGTCCAAACTGGGTATAGAAAGGTACAGAATGATGCAAAACTAACAAATGCATTCTACTACATAGGTAATATTATATAGGTGAATACCTTATATTACAAACCAAAACAAAGTACATTAGGGAAATAAAGTTATCAATAATTATGTCACAAAAATACATTGTAAAAGGAGAATTTAAGCTTGCAATGCTGTATTTTAATTTCTTTTTAAGTGAAGGAAATGTGATGCTTACTGCAGTATCATCAAAGAGGTTGAGTAAAGAAATTAGAAACGCTCGTCTGTGTTGACGGTTCCCTCGGATCATGGAGTACAGGTGTGAACACAATGCACTGGATGATTCATCGTGTCTAAAACCTCTTACAGGATCTTTTGGGCAGGTATTAATTGCCTGTTGTACCTGGTAAGACATCTTCATACCAGCCACAGCTTTCATCTGAAATGGAAATGTATTTATTTGTATTTAAACCATTGCTTTCAAAGCAGTAAAACTTATTCCTTTTAAGTGGATGCTCATCTGAAGTTTAACTTTCAAACATGCACTGAGGCGATACTACCTTTTGAGTTGGCAAACAGATTAAAACAGAACTTGTGGCAGAGATCACAAAGTCTTGTGAACTGCTTTAACTAAATTCTGTTAGAAACATACAGCTAATCTGTTTATCCACTACAGCCAGGTATTCCAATTTAAACAATTTTCAATAATACTGAAATGTTTTCATATATGAACAGAATATTTTACCAAATGTGTATGCTTGATGTCACTTGTAGTGAAACCAACAACTGCGTCCATATTAGTACACCAGGACTAAGAAAATGAGGGTTTTGTTGCATATATCCTGTGATTTCCAGCTGATTTTATTTAGTCCAAGGTTCCTGCTCTAGTTTCAGAACAAACTGAATCTCTGGTTAGGCTGCACATCCAACTGTCCTCATACCACCTCTTCTGATGTTCAGCAAAGTTGTCTCTTCATCTATATATAGCCTTAAATCCCAGCTGCCTACATAGCAAATTTCATCTGCTAGCCTTCACCTACTGGATTAGGTATCTGTTTGGATGCCATTAACAGTGCAATGCTCCAATTGCAGTGGAATACACGCATATCTGAGAAGTCCCACAATGTAGTACACACACTGAACCTAGACCAGGGCCTTCTGAAATAAGGAGAGGGTGCTGCAGCTCAATTTCAGATCTTAAGCAGGATTACTGGCACTATGCCATAACTCCACAAGTCCTCACTTAGCCCTCAGATTTGCCTTTCAGCAAGATCCCTCAGATCTAAACAGCTTCCTGTGCTCCTTCTGCTTAGATTACAATTTATAAAGCCTTGATGCCTTAACATTCTAATGCATACACACTAAGGACTTCTACTTTTACGAGGTGTTCTCTTCCCTAGTCCACTGATACAGGGAAGTCATTGCATTATGAAACATCATTGCAATGAAAATCACTGCATTATGAAACAGCTGTCCTTACCTCTTATCAAATAAATGCTCTTGAATAGGATTCAGTGAGGAAGATATTACTGTGAATTATAGGAAATTTTGGACTGGAAGAGACACTTCAAATTATTATATCCTTTCTATTTCTAAGAATAGAAATCTCCAAACAGGGGAAAAAGTCGAGATCATCTTTACAACTGCTTATAGTTATTGTTTCTTTGTTACTTTATATTCTTTCCTGCAGCTGAGCCATATTCAGGTGTTAAACCACTAGAGAACATAACAGTATTTTGTAAAATGTTAAATTAGAATTACTTACGTGAATGAACCCAGCATATTTTTTGTCTATTTCCACCAACTGCTGGTCAGCTTTATTTCGCATAGAGGGCTCTGGATCTGTGCCCATAGCAATTAAGTATGGCACACACTTGAAAAACAAATGAAATGATTATTCAGAGTCATTGTACCTCCTCTTTTCTCAGTCTCTGTTCTCTTACTACACTATTTTTCTTGTTATATTCTGATTACTGCAGAAACTAGAATAGAAAGCGCTATGCAACTTACTACCTGAATACTTGTCAATTTACACTACAAAAAAATGCCATTTAAAAAAATCCACCACTTATGACTGAACATGCACAATGGCTGCAGTATAAAAAAAAAACTACAAAAATGTTATGTAAGCAAAGAATAATGGAGATAACTAAAGTTCTGACACTGACTGTGGAATTCCATAGTGTTTGGAGGACATGGGAATTGAGGCAAGCTGACACATTTTCCAGGATAAAGAATCAAATGAAGAAAACAACTTGGCATACGCCTGAAATTTAGATCAGAAATACACTCTAATGTACATATGTCCATGCTCTTTAGGCACTGGCTGGGCTTTTACATCTTGATTCAGAAACAGAAAATACAGCATTTGGAATCTCACTGGCTAAACAACATAAAACAGATTTCAAAATATGCCTTCTGTAAAGACCCCTTGAAATTTATAAGAAATAAATTTCAATAAGAAATTACTGTAACATAGCTGGAAGAGAAAAACTGGAAGTTTATGTAGCAAGTGTGAAAACCTCTGAAAACCTGAATAACAAAACCCCCCATCATAAAAGCCTACCATACCTGAACAGGATGGATGAGACCCTGGTTTAACGTCAGTGCAATGACATTTAGAGCAAAGTGGCGTACACTGGACTGGGTATGAAAGAAAGCCTCAAGGACCTGTTTGAGATATAGCTGCATGATGGAACTACTCATCCCTGAGGAAATATCACCCATTTCTTTCAGGTCTTCCTGTTTTGCTACTTTTTTCCCTGTAAAAAGGACAAAAGCAATAGCACACTCACCACAGTATAATCATTTACTTTGCCATTCCTTGATGCATGCTGATCTCTAAGCTTTACAATACGTACACATTTCAGCTGTCTTAAAATGGGTTTATGATCTCATGAAACGTAGAACAGTCTGATGGTAAATGTACATCAAAAAACTAAAGAGACATGACTTTAATTAAAGTCTTGTTCCTTAATAAAGGTTTTTCATTTTAAAAATGTCTTATGTTCTATTTATTATTTTCTATCTGCAAATTAACCTTAGAGGAGATTTTGATAAAAAGTACTACTACCATCATTACGGCAATTATGCATTCTGAGTTGCTTCCAGCATTTATACATCTTGAAAGTAAATAACATACCTATTATGGGTATACACGTATGCACACAGTGTATTTTTGAAAATTATTCTAAGATATTGTGGGTACAATGTCACTGATTTGACAATCTTAAGGGACTCAGTTCACATATACAGTAATTGTATGCAAGAAAGTTAGGTCTTGCATGCTTCATTAGCACAGAAGAACTCTAAACACTTACAGTCTCTGTCTGCCTGCTGCATACGTGTATCCTCCTCCTGCAAGTAGGTCTGGAGGTTTTTTAACACCTGGATTTTTAAGTTTACCGAACAGTTCTTATCTGAAAGAATGCTGTTGTACAGAGTCTTCACTTCCTGTTCGAACATTAAGCTTGGGTGTTGTATAAATGCAAATCCTAAGGGTGGAAGAAAAGAGGAAACGTTCCATGTTATTATCATCTAGAAATTGTATTTCTGCTTTTTAAGTCTTTCTTCAAAATAGAGATATGAAATTTATCTCCTCCCAACAACATAGCTTTTCCTAGTCCAAACAGTATTGCTTTTCTATATGGACACCATTCACAGCTTATAAAGAGTTCTGTTAGCCGTGACAGTTCTATTAGCCATGACTTTGATGGATAAAGATGGGGTGTCAACCCAGGGCAGTTGCACTAAGAAGAGTTATACAGGTCTGGAAGCATGTCCAGTGTAGTGGCCTGCATCTGAATGACTAGGAGCTCTCACAGGAACAAGGGAGGAACATTACTAAAAATTACCCATTGTTTTTCTAATACATTTGGAGAAAAACATTCTGCTGAAACTGTGAAAAGTTATTCATACAGAGGCAGAGCAAATGTGGAAAAATTGATAAATACCACAAGTATTTAAAAATAAAATCTTAGAAGAAAAAAAAAAACCAAAACAGTCAACACAGTAAAATTTATACCTCTTGCTGTCATTATTCATATACCTATTAAGGTCTTCTCTTGAAAACTATCTGAAGCATTCCAAAGACTACATCTGTTGGAAGATACATCCTATAGAACTGTTTTTAGATGCAGCCTTAGCCTTGTCAAGGAACTGATTGTTCTTAGTCTATATTTCATAAACACTTTTCTAAATTAGTGACAGTATATACAATATTAGATCATGTATGTAGATTTAGAAGTGCTGCTGAAAAACTCATAGAGTATCATAAAAAAACAGTAATGGGAATAGAAAATCTCAATTTAAATTATGTTTAACTACACGATTTTTTTTTTAAGACTGTTCAAGAAAAGCAGACATTAAATGTATTTTTATGACCACAGGAAACTAAGATTCTGAATGAACACATAGAAAGCATACGAACATAAAAGAAGAATACGGGTAAAAAATGAAAGCAAAATTATGCAAAAGCAATGTATAAAAACAGCTGTAACAAAGGGAAGACTGAGTCAAGTTTTTAAAACTGGCTCCATACACACACAGAAGACAGTGTAGGTAAAGGCTAAGTCCAGGGCAAGACCTCAATGTGTTTAAGATCTCATTTCAGTCTCAAAACAAGAAGCAGAGAGAAGCAGGTGAGGTGGAGGGGAAAGAGGAGAAAAAGAAAAAGGAATGATGATGGTCTTTGGAGTATGTGGTATAACTGTGCACTCCATACAGGTGTATATTGATGTTTATAACTTGACCACCTCTGAGCAAGTCCAACCCACATCTTAAGGTTAATTTTAAAAATGAAAAGCATGTGCATGTATGTGTAAAAACCCATAACACTTTTTTTCCTTCATTCACTTAAAGAAATCTGAAACACCAGTATTCTCAGGGAAATTCTTATTTTTCCATCACCTGTAAGCAGGGAAGAAGAATTTTGCTGTAATAATTTGTCACAGGAGGTGAAAAAAGGCACCTGCTGTGTTCTTTTAAGGATTGACCACATCTCGGGGCTGCCCTCACGCCAATTCTCTTCAAACTTTGTCTTCACTTGGTTGAGAGTCTTAAGACTAAGCTCTGAGCTTGGCTGATTAAGACATTACCTGTTAAGATACTTACAGGTTTAGCTAAATTTACTAACAAAATTTTATATCCTCAACCTGCCTTGCAAGTACATATCTGGAAGAGAAGCATAACCATTATCATTAAGCTTACGGCTGAAGCTTAATCCCTCAACAGCAGTGACACATCCTAAAGCAAAGGCTAAAACCATTGAGTGTCCTTACTGAAACGACACACTAATAATTGCTGATAGGAAAGTACACACTCTTCACATGACGTCTTCATTGTGTATGAACGTTGAATTAGCTTGCTAGTCCTTTTCACCTTATTGCTGCATACAAACGTTGTATGGCTTTGACAGCTTTGCTCCATTACTAGCCTGTAAGGTGGAACTTTGCACTGCCTACCACATCTCTGTACATCCAACAGCTACCCTCAAATGGAACCAGTACTTAGATGGAATCAATATATCAATGAAAACAGTTGTCTGAGTTTTAAAGACCGATATGCTTACAGGCAGAGAAAAAAAAATCTGAAGGATGCCTACTGACAGCTACCCCCATTTTCTCCCATTCCCCCAAACTGATCACAGTTTGGTCTATAATTTAGAAACATTTTTGGAGACTGCAACATTCTCCACATCCATGAGCAAAGCAGTCATGTCTACAGGTAGGAAGACAGCCCCTATCCCATGTGTAATATTCTGCAGAGGACAATTAAAGTGGACTGGAGTTGTTGGCAGCGCACCTTGATGTAATGCCTAGAAAAACTCCAACTAGTCCAGAAAACTGCAGTGCTGCTCTAGCAACAGAGGCAACTCTAAAGCCATTAATACCGCTCAGCTGTCTGAAATGGTTTCTTATAGCATATGAAATCAAGATTCAGTCTTGGTCCTTATCCTTGGAGCCCTACCTACCCTGAATTGAAGCAGGAGATCTAAAAAGCCACCTAAACAGCAACATAAAGAGGCAAATTCTTGTCCACAGTTAAACTATACAATGCAAGCTCACATGCCTGGGAGACAACTTTCTTTACTCTAAGCCATAACAAACTCTTCCAGAAATCAAGGCTTATCTGCCCAAACAAGATTCTCTCACATGTACAGTTTTTGTCCTTAAGGATGAACATGATACAAACCACTCAATGGCAGTTCATGTACTACTGCAAGTCACTGAAATACCATACTAATGCCTTCAGATAAAGAATCTATTTAAAAGTGAAATACAGCTAAAATCCTGAAGCAAACTGTAATATCTAGACTATGACATCACCTCAATGCCTTGTGAAACCTCATAGAGCACCCCCAGTTGGTATAAACTGCCAAAGTTCCCTTGACTCCTGCAGAATATCTGCCTTTACACTTAAAATGTTCAAAGTTTTCCCAGTACTTTTTCTAGTTGTTCTTTAACCATACCTTGTGGACTGAAAAACAAGATTTGGAGTTACAACATACTTGCATGTGGAGAAAAAAGAACATCTCCATTACTTTGGAAATCTGCTGCACTTTAAGACTTGGTCACAAATCAAAAGGCATTCACTGTCAAAAGTATCCACTCTGCTGCAGAAGCACGTAACCAGCAACCCCTTGACAACTTTTCTATAGCCAGTTCTCAAATAAAACACGCAGTAAATTTTTATTTTAAACAAACTCCCTTGCCACTACACAAATACATGAATTCCTACTGATATGCATGGATTTTTACTATAGTAGAATAATAAAAACTATTAATATTTCTTACCAAGGCCAATAATGGCTTTTGTCTGTACTTCTTCATCTGAATGCTTTGTAAAATACATCAGCAGTTCAAGTACTTTATCCTTAATGTTAACCTGAGCAAATTAAAACAAAAATAATAGCTATTTGAAGATGAAACAGATGTTTTTAATTTCTTATAAAAAGCATAAATATCAAAAAGAAAAGGAGAAACACAATGTTACTGCATGGCCTTTGCAAACCCATGTATTTAAAAACCAAAAAGCTGTATTGTATGAATTATGAAAAGATACATAGCTTTGAGGGACTATGAATAATGTGCTTTCAAATTAAATTGGAGCATTCAATATATCTAAAACATGGAGAGTAAATACAAGTTATTTTACCTTACTGTTGCCCTTAAAATCTTCCTGATCAAAATCAAAATGCCGGCAGAGTGCTCCAACAGTAAAAAGTGATCTAAGGAGTGCTGGTTTATTGGCAGTAAGTATTGTACTGTTGGGATCTTCTTGGTGTTGACTTTTTAATTTCGAAAGTGCACCTACAGGAGATAAAAGTTTTGATCACAATGTTTAATCGTGGTGTATCCCTAAGATAAGACTTGTAGCCAAAACTGAAAAGTGACAATTACATGTTGTGATTTTACTTACCATAGTATCTATTAAAACAGGCCCACACAAATTTATAGTTCTGTGTGACCTTGTTCACAACAGCCCCAAGACAGCTCACACAATGCTGAACAACCTAGGAGCAAGAAAGAACAAATCAATTATATATTTAGAAGTTAAAATTGAAATTTTTGTGAAGTTATGTAGGAAAAAGCTATGCTGAACTAGAACTAATGATCTAATGGATGTAATATTCATCTCCCTGACTGCTCTGAAAACCTGCTCAAACTCGTTAAAATATAGCAACACAAACAAACTCCAGTAAACCGAGTACACTGATTTTTCATGGCTCAAAAGTTATCTTCATAATGAAGACAGACTTTCTTTAAATCAAAACCATGTATTTCACAATGTGAAATGGAATCAACTGAATAGTAACAATAGTAACAAAAGCTTACTGTCATGCCATATTTGATGATGAGTTTCATGAGGTCTTCCTCAATAGTGGCAAGAAAGGTCTCACTGGGGTGCTCCATTAGCGGCACTACAAGCTCTAAGATTTTTGCAACATTGCAGATCACCATGAAATCATTCTGGGTCTGAAACAACAGTATTTATAGCGTTTAACATTTCTGGCCCTGTTACCTGTAAGCAAAGTATTATTAATATGCACTGATAGTCAAAAATCCCAACTCATGTTAGATATTTGGTACAGATCTAAAAGAATATTTATATAGTTTACATCTGCTATTAAATTACATATTATTATGAAAGATAGTTCTGTTTTCTACAGAACTTCTGAAAAAAAAAAAAATCTGCACAAGCAGAACTTCACCTCTCATCAAGGCTGTGACAGACCTGAAAACTCAACAAAATGAAGTTGTGCTATGACTCAATGTGCCTTATGCAAAATAGGTAATAACGCGCACAAACGTAGAAATTACAATTAAAATTATTACCGGTTTGCATTATCATGTCTGTATATGTATTTTAAGTGAGGAATCTATGGAAAACATTTATCTATTAAAGATACATCCTGCTAGAAATTGACTTTTTATGACAAATCAAGCTTACTGATCAGGATAGGATAACTCCCAAATGCTACTGTCAAGCCACTTAAAATATTCAAACTGACAGTGGTAATTCTACAATTCATCTCAACCTGTATAAGTACAAAACTGATGTAACCCACTAAATGGGTTGCAGCAAGTAAATAATGAGATAACCCTTTTCTATACTGTTTGATCATAAGCAGCTCTAAAAGTCTGTTGTAAATGTGCCCAGAGAACGCTCCAGGGCTGGACCTGGAAAATGCTAGGCTGTACCTACAATCTAAGCTAATATCAATTACTCTCAAGCCTGCCCTGGGCAGCTGAGCTAATGTAATGGATTGCTGCCACCCACCCACGCTCCTCCTTGAGCCATGGCTGCATGATCCTGTCCTGCTCTTTCTGTCAGATCAGGGGTCATCACAACTTTCACTAAGCCAACTGTGCTAATCAAAATGGCAGAAAGCGCTGCAATATTTCAGAGGAGGGGAGCCATTTTACCGGATTGGAGGGGTTCAGCGTTATAGCTCTCTACCACTTTTGTGAGCTAAACTGTCTTACAGGGGAATACGAAACCACTAGAGCCAGGGAAATGAGAGATGAAGTATGGAAGAGGATGGAGCAGGACATTTTCCTTCTGATATGTTTGCTATATGTTAGATCACTCTATCTTATGGAACCATACCTTTAGTCTTAAGATTCATGTGTTAAATATTAACTACTTTCAAGACTGTGACTATAAAACAAAACAATTTTTTAGAAATTATTTCATAACAGGTGAA